CGAATTGTTGAGATTATTTGAATTTCAGATAGGATTATATAAATTCTAATGTAATAAGATGAGATGAAGTCGAATGTTTTTACATGAAATAATATTAGATTTGACGTGCTGATATTAAATTAAATGAGATGAGCTGAGTGATTGAAAATGAGACGATATCAGGTGAGATGACCCTAGATGAGATCATATCTAATGAGATAATTTAAGATGATAAGAATTCAGATGACATGAGTTAAGATTATATGAAATTAGTTGAGATCAGATGAATTAAGTTGAAATGACTTGAGATGGGATTAAATGAGTTAAGGTTAGATTACTTTAGATAAGATGTGTTGAGTTGAGTTGAGTTGAGATGATATGAGATTATCTTTTTATGAAACAATATCCCATGAGATGAGTTGCGCTTACTTCAGTTTCTATGACATATTATCAGATGATATCACTTTCGATGTAATAAGATAACATAATTTGAGTTGGCTAATTTAACTTTAGGTGAGTTTTTGTGAAAGCTGATAAAATTCATTAAGATTTTCTGAAACTTTTTTAGATGAGTAGAATCTTGAATATATTTGTGTTTTTTTAATTTTTTGGCATTTGATTTTTTAACAGAATATTTAAAAGAACATTTATAAATTTAACCTTTGTGAAGAGAAATTATCAGAGTATACATGAGATTAGTTCAGCCAATATGAGTTGAATTTGTATCACACGAGATGAAATATTACAGGATATTATCATATGCGATGAGATCAATATCGGTAACATGAAAAGATTTTAAATGGTATCAGACGTGATGATATGAAATAAGATGAATTGGTCACGCCGTTGCGAATTCTCTTTACTTTTTTTAGCTTTGAGATTATTTGTATTTCCTTTGGATTGTACTTAGTTGCCCTTTATTGATTTTCTTAATTGACATTTCTGCTTTTTTTGCAGATTTTCTTTCTACCTGTCTTATATTTTCGAATAGATTTTCTAATCCCTTAAATAAAAAGATTTTTTTATATTTTCATTTATTAATTAATGTAATAAATTTGTTCTCTCTATTTATCTGTTTTCTATTTTATTCATTTCTCAGTTATAATAATATTTAATATAATTTATCATGCTTCTTCACCGATAACTTCTTATATGTTTTCATCTTCAGGCCTTGGCAAGGGAGCTTTTTGAAAAGAGACCCTTAGAGGGTTATCTCTCGCCTTGTCTTTTCCTTAAAGAGCCGTCAGAACTTGCCGTCAGCATCGAATCAGAAAATCATAGCCTCCTCTCATCTCGTCTGGGTCATGTGAAGTGTCATGCCGATCTCGTCTACCTGCTTTCTGCCTCATTGCACTCAACCCGGATGCATATGTTGCCCGGCGGTCTATTTCATTCAAGTCCAAATGTGAGCTCCCTCGAGGCCGTCGAAGGCGCGTCCACGGTCAAGCCAGCACCGATGGCCAAGCCAACATGCGCACGATCCAATTGTCTAGGCGAGATGGCCGCCTCGACGACGGGGATGGCGATCGCCGCGACAACGTGGAAGTCGTCGCATCCACCGCCGCCCAGCCTCCTAGGGCCGGAACTGCTGCAGCACCTGCGAGGCCGGCAGAAAGACCGACTCCAACGCATCTGCAAAGGCCGAGCAAATCGCCTCAAGCTGCGGCTCCACCGAGGCTTGGCCGCCGTCCGGCCCCCGCCAGCCTCATTCGGCTCGGCCGGCCAGTCGTTCTCGCCGGCCTGTCCATCTCGACCGCCGCAGGCTCGTCTCGGCCTGCGCCATCTCCGTCAACTCCGCTCCAGCCCCGAACCGGCCGATACAATCGGCCTTACTGACCACTCGCCTCCTCCTCCTCCTCCTCCTCCTTCTCCTCCTCCTACCTCGTCTGATCTGCTTCCTTGCGACGAAAATGGCGGTACCGTCACACGCTCGGCCTCATCTCAGCGACTTGCCGTCTTGTTTGAGTCGTCTTCTCCCTCGACTCCGCCCACAAGACGGGAGTATTCCCAGCTCGACGAGTCTGCCGACCTGCCGATTCGGCTCCAGCTCGGCCCGAAAGGACCCCATATCCGACTGGCTAGTCTGCCCGACGAATTGGCCGCCAAACTCACCATTCGCGACGGTCTCATCACCAGTCCGGTCGACCGGCAAACCGAGAAGGTGCTCCGCGCCCTCGCCCAGCTGCATCAGTGTCCATGGCTTCTGCGATTGCCGCCCGCCCTGTTGGCCGAATTGCCGCCGCTTTGCGCAATCCCGCCACCGCCGCCCTCGTCGTCCCCACCGGACGACGATGACGATGCTGACGAAGATTACGCCGACAACGTTGACGCCGCCAGCAACGAAGTTGACGACGTCTACAATGGCGCCAATGACGCTGCCGAAGGCGACGGCTACAACGGCTACGATCTTAGCAACGGCGAAGATAAAGAGAAGGCAAACGGTACGGCAGCTTGTTTGGCTGTGGGGCGGAGAGACGGCTGGTCGGGACGCCTCGGAGTGACGGCCGAGGTTGGCAATAGAAGGAGGAGACGACGCATCTCGGGATTGGCGCGTTTGACTCGTGGCGATATTTGGGGCGCCGATAGGCAATCCAAAGCGCCGAATCATGATGATCCCGAGGCCGATAGCAACGGCAACGGCGACGACGACGACGACGACGAGGTGGACAGTGACGATGGCGAGGAGAAGAATCAGGTGAGACGAGGCCAGATGAACAATGAAGGAGCAAGTTATTCGTCCGTCTCTTTGGATGAGTCGAATTCGACCAGTTTTCTCGTTTCTGACGCCTCCTCCACGACTATTTCTGGTCCTTCTGAGGCAACCTCCACAACCGTCGCCGTTGCTTCTTTCCGCAGACCCGATGGAATACAAGCCCGGCAGCTCGGCCCACCCAGCTCTACCGGCCAGCCAGAGCTGGCGAAAGCTGGACCCGAGGCCGGAGCCCCACATCACTTGCCCCGTTGCATCATGACTCCGCGCAATTCCAGACGTTCAGGACTGACGGCAACGCCGTCGGCATTGATTCCACCGTCAATCATCGAGGACAGAAGACAGCTGGCCCAGGAACAGAGCGAACCGGCGGCCAAGACGACCGACTGGGGGGCTGCGGAATTCGGCCAGCTGTGCCCACGAAGGCCGTCGAGCAGTAGGACGTCTCAAAAGCGCCGAAAGCCTGAGGCATACAAATCTTTTGCTGCCCAAACATCAAGAGGACAAAACCGCTCTTCAAATCTACCGCTGGTCAAGCCTAGACACGCGAACCGTCAGAGCTCGGAGTCAGGCCGGATAGAGGCGCTGCGCCAGTTCGGCTGCCATTTCAAGAACATCATTGACCGGAAGGAATTTAAGGAATCTTTAAGATTTGCTGACTTCTTCAAACCAAGACTCTCCTATGCCGACTTTTAGTGAGTTCTATTAACAATATAAGTATTTTCATCATATTTCATTTAAGGCGATAAATTAATTTCGCCACAATGACATAAGTAGACCTTACATTTCCATTTAATTTTACATATCTTTGCTTCCCATAAAGTAGTCGCATCATGGGTGCCACAGTTTCTACCTCGCCTGAATTGGTCCCCAGCGGAACTCAAACAATTTCAGTGGAGCGTATAATATCGACAGATTAACTACTAAACCACCTAGCACCAAGTGCCC